CCATGGCCGCTGAGCCTGCGCGTCCGGAGCCTGTGCTCCGCAACGGGAGAGGCCACAACAGTGAGAGGCCCGCTTACCTCAAAAAAAAAAGAGAGTCAACGTTTCAAATTAAGAATTACAGAGTACGTTAGGGGGGAAAATGGAGCAAGGGAAGGGAGGTGAGCGGTCTGGCTGCGAGTTTAAGTAGTGTGGTTAGAAGGCAACATTTCCAAAAAACTTGAAGGAGGTGAGAGAGCATTCTGGGCAGAGGGAACAGCCAGTGCAAAGGCAGGAGTGGCCTGGTGCGTGGCCGGAGCAGGGAGAGCAGAAGAGGGCGAGGTCAGGAGATGGACACCCCAGGAAGGGCTGGTAGCAGGTGGCCTCTTTCCGTCCGGGTCAGCCTCTGCCCCAAGAAGGGCAGGGCCTGGAGACACGGGTTTCAGAGTTGCTCCTCAGAGGGCTTTACTTGGCCGGGCAGCAGGGATGGCCCTGGGCTGACCTGGGGCAGCTCCCAGGCTGGATCTCTGCTCCGGGCTGAGGCTGGGCCGCCCACGGCCTGGGGCCTCCGGCCTTTCCACCAGGTGGGTGGCAGGTGACACAGGTCTCAGAGAATGCTGCGTGGGGCTGAGAGGAGGCAGTTGGGGTCTTGAGGTACCAAACACCAGAGGAAGTTGCAGCAGGAAGGAGGAAGCCCAACCCTAGTGGCCCTGCTTGTCCCTCCTCGCAGACGAGAAGGCCCCAATTCCTGATCCGGCCTCAGTGGGATTACTAGATGCCTTTCCTGTTGTTGTTTGTTTGTTTGTTTGTTTTCTGTTTTCTTTTTCTGGGGAAATAGCCCCATCTCGTGGTCTTCCAAAGACACCAACGCTGAAGCCCACTGGCTTCTCCCTTTGGGGGCCACGTCGTTTCAGGCTCTCCCCGTTCCCGCCGCCACCTCCGCGTATACTTGGCTTTACTTGGGCTAGGCTCAGCGAGCGGCCTGGGAGTCTGCTCCCCTCCGTGGGGCGGACCGGCGTGGGGGGAGCGCCCAGTTACCCTGGCTCCTGGGGCCTTCCCAGCTTCTTGCCCCAAGTGCAAGGGACCCTCGCCTGCGTGCCCGGTGTCCTACTTCAGAGAAATCTGAGCGTCAGGGCCTAGAATCATCCTTCAGCTTCGCCTCCGCTCTGGAGGCCCACCGACGTCAAAGGGTCTCAGGAGAAGCCACTCTCCAGTTCCACAAGCTCCTTCCTTCCATTCCTGCTTGGGAGTGTCTCCCTGTTACCACCCCGGGGGAGATCGGGCATTAGGGTCTGTGAGGACAGGGCTTGTCGCGTCTCTTTCCAGGATTTGAAATTACGCTGCCTTTGGGGCGTTAGGTCTCAAGGATAGACACTGCTGTGTGTGAGCACCTCGCTGGCTGGCGCCACCGATGCGCCTTGTGGTGCTGACCTTGAGCGTTGGTCTCCGTCTACAGGCGAACCCTGCCCATGGCGTTTCTCTCGGCAGTCACAGCTCAAGTTTCTTCTCTCTTGGGGGCTTGCACGGCAGCGTGTCTTGGGATGGGGGATTACAGAATAACACCTCTTCTTTTCAGCTTTTCTGTATTTTTCAAAATGGATGGTGACCTGGCAGTACAGTCGTGATAGAGAAAACACAAGCTTGTGATGTGTTTCAAAACAATTTGATGCTAGTCTAAAAACCCTTGCTATTATCAGTATTCTTCCCTCCCCACACCTTTAGCTGGTGCGGGTCCCCCTGTGACTGGCGGTGTGTCCCAATGAAACATGTCTGGCCTGCGGACAAAAGGATGAACACTTGACAGCGACGTTAAGTGTATTTGCAACTTTGTGCTGCCATCACCACCTTCGACCTCCAAAATATTTGTATCACCCCAAAAAGAAACCCTGTCCTCATGAAGCAGTCACCCCCCCACCCCACCCAATCCCAGGCCCTGGCACTCAGATCTGCTCTCTGACTCTCTGGATTTACCTAGGACTCTCTGGACATGTCATATGTTTTATAGGATTTAAAGGGTTTTTTTTATAGCGAGCCACAGGACAGTGGCGCTCTGGAGAGATGACAGGCAGAAGGAGGGACGGCTGCCACGAGGGATGGCGCACCTGGGTAGGGGTAGCTAGTGTCCTTGGGGTCCCTGGGCAGTGGCCGGTTTGAACGGTTTCGCAGGCTCCGGTGCGTAGGACCTGTCCTTGGTTGTCTGGTACCTGGCCACTGAGTGTGAGACCCCGATAAGGAGGGTTTGGGGCGTGGGTTTAGTGGCCCCAGGGAGAGGGGCTTTGATACGGGAGGTAGGTGGTGTGGGAAACTTCACAAGCTCAGCAAGCTGCTTGCGAAGGCCAAGGAGAAAGAGTTTCTAGTCGTAACTTCAAAACTAGGTCAAGAAAGCCCTTGTGAAATATTATATTACATCATATAAATAGAATCATGCAGTATGTGGCCTTGTGTGCCTGTGTCTGGCTTTTTTCACTTAGCATCGTGACACTAGGTTCGTCCACATGGTAGCGTGGATCAGTATTTCATCCCTCTTTGGGGCCAAATAGTATTCCATCGTGTGTCCAGACCATGGTTTGTTATCTACTCTTCTGTTGTTGGACGTTTGGGTTGTTTCCACCTTTGGGCGATTGTGAATTGTGCCTCAGTTCATTCACGTGGGTGGACATTTTTGTGAGAACACTGTTTTCGATTCTTTTGAGCACATACCCGGGAGTGGTTTACTTACTGAAGGACCACTAGACTATTTTCCCTTTTAATTCTGAACACTGTCAAGCAAACAGACGAGTAGAGAGAATAGTCTAACCAAGCCCGCGTAGCCACCTCCCAGGGTTAGCAGTGGCCTCCAGCTCCAGCTTGCCTTATTTGCTTGGGTCCCCCCCACCTCGCGCGCTCTCTCTCTCTCTCCCTTTCTCTCTCTCTCTCTCTCTCTCTCTCTCTCTCTCTTTTGCTCTCTCACTCTCTCTCTTCCTCCCTCCCTCCCTCTCTTTCCTTCTGTCTTTTGTATTTGCTGAAGCACTTTAAAGTCACTTCACAAGCCCTTTTCTCCCCAAATGGTGCGAATGTGTCTCTTGAAAAGGACATTTTCTTCCATGACCTGGTGCCACTATTCATCCAACACACGGGCAGCAGCGGCCCCGCTCTCACCCTCCGCTATCCGCAATGCCTTTGACTCCTCTTTTGTTCGCGCCAGCGTCCCATCAAAGACTCCCATTGCACTTGGCTGCTGGCCCCTTAACTCTCTTTTCAGCCAGAACGATCTCCCTACCCAGCCTCCTCTTCCCCCGTGACACTGATTTGCAGAGGAGGCCAGGGAACAGCCCACCTTCTGCATCGGGTGCCTCCCTTGTGGTGCCTTTAACTGGTCTCTCTGTCCCCAGGGTCCTCTGTAAACTGGATGCTGGGTCCCAAGGCTGCATTAGAATCAGGTCAAGCTTTGGCAAGAGCCCTCCCGGGCATCCCCACCAAGGGGACATCCCACTTCTGTCCCACCATTAGGTTCGCTTCCTCTCTTGTGACCAGCAGTAAACGGGGAAGACATCATGTGGCCGACCCTTCCCCCTCAGGCTTCGCCTAATGGTTTTGGCATCCATTCGACCTTAAGAGATTCTTTCTCTCTGATTAGTATAAACTTCTCCATCAGACATGCATTCATTTATTTATTCTGGGCCAGTGTTAACTGACAGCTCATCACAGGTGATAAGGGAATTTGGGGCGATTTAACTTGTTCTGAGGACCCCATCTCCTTGCCCTCTCTCCTGGGGCAAAAACAGGCCGTGACGCCCACTCCGCCCTCCCCCCGCCACTGCCTGTCTCCTCCGCTCCTCCGCCCGTGACTCCCATGTTGTGGCCGCCGGTTGGGTGGACATATCCTTGGAGCAAACTTTCTTTTGCCCCACTGTCTTCTGGCATTGAGGGCTGGTGTAGAGAAATCTGGTTCTGTCCACTTGGTTGGTGACACGCTCCTCCTGCCTTAGCGTGAGCCCCGGGCAGCCTCACCTTCTGCCCCTCCCACCCCCTCACCCCGCTCCAATTTTCAGCACCATGACCGCGCAGCTAGGGCCCCTCTCAGGGCCGGGTATGGGCCATGCCATTGGCCAGCTACTCTCTTTATTCACCCCCAGCCTGCAGCTCTCAGCCTGAACGCTATCCCTCCCCCAGCGATGGGGGGGGCCCTCCCTCCTGCATCCCACTAGCTTGGTCTTTCTCTTTCCTTGAGAGCAAGTCTGTTTGCAGATGAAGGAGGTATGTGTGTTTGGAGTTTTTCTTGTTGTTGTTTTTTTAATTTAATTTTTTTATACAACAGGTTCTTATTAGCTCTCTATTCTATACACAGTAGTGTATATATCTCAGTCCCAAACTCCCAATTCATCCCACCACCATCACCCTCCCCCTGGAGTTTTTCTTTAAGAACCTTGACCTCAGGGGGCAAGGGGGCAGCAGTGGGGCTTCCAGGGATGGCTAGAAAGTCAGGATTGGGGTGCTGGTCACGTGGGAGGAGGGCTGAGAGAGGAAGGAAATGAGAAGAAGGAAAGAAGAAACACACTCCCTTGAAAGCCTGGCTAGGCAGGCTCAGCACGAGGAGACAGAATCCTTGTCTGGTGAAGAGAGGGGACAGAAGCTCAGTTTGAGAAAGTGTTATGGATTGAATTGTGTCTCCCCCCGCAAAAGATATGCTGAAGTCCTATCCCCCAGCAGCTCTGATTGGGACCCTATCTGGACAAGGTCACACTCAGCGCATGGGCTCAGCTCACACCTGGCTCGCTCCGCATTAGTGTCTCTGCGCCCCTGCGATGGCAGCCATGCTCCTGATGGCCAGACGCAAGGTGAGTGGGGCTCCCTGACTGTGGGCGGCATCTCCCCCAGCAGCCTCTCTCTGCCGCTTCCTCCTGTCCCGTCCTCACAGCTATTGCCGAGCTCTCCAGGGCCCCCCCACCCCACCCCATGTTTAGTTGCTACCAGCTCATCCTGGGGACCACGGAGGTGAATTCCCCTGAAGCCACAGCAATGGGTTGTTTTAGGTGCCGGTATCTTTTGAGGACGTGTCTGTGTACTTCACCAAGACGGAATGGAAGCTTCTGGATCCCAGACAAAGGATGCTCTACAAGCGAGTGATGCTGGAGAACTACCGCCACTTGGTGTCACTGGGTAAGGACCTCGCACACAGCCAGGCTCCCACCCTGTGTCTGAACTGTTTATGTTTGAGCTTCTTTGCTAGTTGGTTACTGTGAGTCCAAGAATACATGCATTTCCCCATCAGGTCAGTAGCACAGTGTTTAGCTAAACGGTTTGGGCTTGAAGGTGTTTCAGGTAAATGCGTGGGCCCCCGTCAAACTTATTTTGATATAAAATCACGAGTTAACTAAATCTCTTCTACCCAAAAGATAGATGCAAATTAGCCTTGACTATTTATATACATTAATGTATACTTATTCCATTTTTACCAAGGTTGCCTTTTACATTCGTTTCATGTTCTAGGGTTTTCAAGCATCTGTTCCTTGCATCAAGCCACAGAGAGCCCAGGACATAGAGGCCCAGGACTTGGAGAAATCGGGAAAGAGCTGGGGCAGGCTCCCCCACTGCGCCCCTGCCTTCGGGGTTGCAGGGGATCCTTTTGTTCTGTTTCTTCTTTTAAACTCTACAGATTCCACCTCAGTCGTCTAACCCCACAGAAGGAGACTAGCTTCTTCCCCTTGGTTGTTTTTGACCCTTATCAGGCAGATCTGGGGTTCCCCAGGGAAGCTGTGGATTCCTCAGTGGAGTCTGGCATAAGGAACAGAGACATCTGCTGTGTTTGATGGTGAAACAGGGGGCTTTGGCTTTCGGGACACAGGCAGCCCTTCAGCTGTGTCTGCTTCTTGATACTCCCTGGGGCCTTGCTCCAACCCTCTGTTTGTCCTTCAGGGTCTCCACACTGATCCCCCATTTCCCGCAGGCCATCCCGTCCTGCAGGCCAAATAATAACATCATTATCCTCTTGGGCTGAATCACCACCTACTTAAGATTCACCGTGCATGCCTGGCCCCTGTACACTCAGAGCACCTTGCTTCCTTAGAGGGACTCTGCCGTTTCTCTGGACCTTCCCAGTGGCACTTTCTAGAGAGTTCTTCATTCTCTGTTCCTGAAGATATTAATGCTGGACTGAGTCCAGGAGTGACTAACCTGCTTCCTTTCCATGGACAGGGTTTTCATCCTCCAAGCCTCACCTGGTCGCCCGGCTAGAGCGAGGAGAGGGGCCCTGGGTAGCAGACGTCCACAGGATGGGGACCACCACAGGGACGCAGGCAGGTGGGTGAGGGCCACTTTGTCAGCAGCTGATGGAGGGCGGCATGGCCACTTTGGGTGGGACATTCTCTTTCGTGGCAGATTTAAATCTGTCATGGAGTCCCCTGTCTCACACCAGCTCTGATATCTCTAGCTCGTTGCCATCTCCTCCCCTCTTGCCCTCCTGTCTGCTGACGGTTATCTTGCTTCTTCTCCCTTGTCCTCAACTCCTGGTTCAGCTCTTCTCAGCCTTGGAGTGAGGGTGAGGGTGAAGAACTAACCTAAATGGAGACCCAGGGAGGGAGTGACACTGGCTGGTGCTCTCTGTCTTTACAGGTGACAGGATGAAGAGCAAACCGATAATTTCAAAGCAGAAAAATTGTTCAGAAGAACTCGCAGGGGCTGACCTTCAGGGTGGCAACAAGGGCCAGGTAGCCGGGCAGTCAGAGGAAACACTTGAGCACAGACGGAAACATGCTTATTGTCCACAGGCAGCTTTCAGCAGGGGTGACCCTCCCAGGGAGAAAGGCCAAGGCAGCTCCCCAGGTGAGGAAAGAGAGATACAGAGGAGTAGCTGCAGAGGTAGACAGGGTTTGGTTCTAAGGCAGCAGGGTTCCAAAGGTGCAGAGAAACAGTTCCTGTGTCAGCAGTGTGGAAAATCCTTCAGCCGGAGCTCCAACCTCATCAAGCACCGGATCATCCACAGTGGCGAGAAACCCTACGAGTGCGGCGAGTGCGGCAAACTCTTCCGGCGCAGCTTCGCGCTCCTGGAGCACCAGCGCATCCACAGCGGTGAGAAGCCCTATGTGTGCGGCGAGTGCGGGAAGACTTTCACACGCAGCTCCAACCTCATCAAGCACCAGATCATCCACAGTGGTGAGAAGCCCTACGAGTGTGGCGAGTGCGGGAAACTCTTCCGGCGCAGCTTCGCGCTCCTGGAGCACCAGCGCATCCACAGCGGCGAGCGGCCCTACACGTGCAGCGTGTGCAGCAAGGCCTTCAGCAGGAGCTCCAACCTCATCGAGCACCAGCGCACACACAGCGGCGAGAAGCCCTACACGTGCAGCCAGTGCCTGAAAGCCTTCAAGGGCATCTCCCAGCTCATTCACCACCAGCGCATCCACAGTGGGGAGAAGCCATTCGAGTGCAAGGAGTGTGGGAAGGCCTTCCGGGGGCGCTCGGGCCTCAGCCAGCACCGGCGGGTGCACAGCGGCGAGAAGCCCTATGAGTGCAGCGAGTGCGGGAAGACCTTCAGCCGGCGATCCAACCTCTTCAAGCACCAGGTGGTGCACAGCGAGGAGAGACCCTACAAGTGTCAAGACTGCAGGAGGGCGTTCCGCAGCGGCTCCGTCCTCCTGGAGCACCGGCGCACCCACGGCAGCCTGCGGCCCAGCGCCTGCGGCCACTGCGGCCAGGCTTCCAAAGGGAAACCGCAGCTCGGCCGGAAGCCAAAAACTCACCGCAGAAGGAAGCTCTCGGAGGGAAGCAACTCAGAAAAGTTGCCGGCCTGCCTGGCCCTCTGGAGAGCCACTGCGGAGCCCCGCCCCGAAGACGAGAAACTCCGTCCAGACTCCGCCCACGCCACCGCCCCCAGCTCCTTCTGACGGGGTGCACCGTGGGAGGGCTGGCTTTAAAATGAGGCCCACGTTCCCCACCTCATCCCCCTCCCTTTGCTCGTTGATGATGTTGCGATTGAAGCACCTAGTGCGCCGCAGGCAGACGGGCCCCTGTGCCCGTGCCAGCTCCTGTGCGGTGCGCACGGGCGTGTGTGTGCCGCCAAGGTGCACGCACATTTGTATTCCACCCTGGAGCCGCTGAAACTGCTCTTGCCCCACGTGCCTGGGGCCTGAGTGCTGTGGGTGGGAGGGAGCGGGTGCCTTCAATTAGGGAGGAGTGGGGGCCTTCACTTCACCCAAAGACTTGTTAGCGTTTCCAGGTAGAAGACACGAAAAGCACTTTAATCCTTTAATAGCTTAATAGTGGGGGGGACCTGAGGGCATTCAAAATTTGTGGGCTCCACAGCGAGGCTGTGGCTGGACTGTGACATCACATCACCTAAAATTCATCAAGAAATGGTCTGAAAAAGGACTCAGGCAACTGCACGTGCCCGCGTCGGCAGCCCCTGGAGAGTGGCATCTCCTCTGCAGGAAGGCACAGGACAGCTTGCTTCTGGGAGGAGCGGCACCAGACCCCATCTTCTGGGAGCTCAGGGGATTCTGCCAGATGGCTGGCCTGGGCCCTGCGGAGAGGCTGAGGCCTGGAGACTCTCGGCTTCTCCGCCCCAAGAGAGGAGCTCTTTGGCTCTGGTCCCTCCCAGCTGCCACCAGCTGCCCTGCTGCCTTTGGTCTCCTCCCCGCACCCTGAGCCCCGGAGCTCACCCCACCTGCTGCCTTCAGACCCTGCCTGCAGAGGCCGCACTGGCCTCTCTGCCCCTTCTCTCCACCCTCAGTGCCTAAAGCTCCAAAGTTAGCTGCTCCCCCTGCAGCAGCCGTCCCTTGTGGCTGGCGCCAAATCAGGAGGAAAGCGGCCGGCTTAGGAATTTGCACAGAGCGTGCCCAGTGATGGCTCTCTCTCCTCAGCTCTCTTTCATGTGACATTTCTTAAAATATTAGAGGTTCGGTTGCTTTGAATGTTTTTGCCTTCAGGGGTAATGTAAGTCAAAAATAGAGATTTTTGCCATATGGAAGTGTCAGGTAATCACTCCTTAAATAAGAATCTGCCCAGCTCTCTGAGAAGGCCCCTCTTCTCACTCCCCCGCCCCCGGCCTTAGCCCCGTAGGGACACGGTGGACCCTTCAATGGCACTTTACTGCAGGCCATGGGAGACTCTCCAGGGAGACCTCGTGCTGCCGGCGGGGGTGGGGGGGGGCAGCTGCTGGCAGGTTCCACCCTGTCCTGCTCACACTGTCCCCAGAGCTGGGACCAGGAGCTCTGCCACTTGCCATTCTCAGCCCAGCATCCCAGTTGGCTCGCCGCCTCCTTCCAGCCCCCTTCACCACTGCCACAGGCTGCCCGAGGGCAGGTGGATGTGATGGAGGCCCCCCACTGGGCCTTTGCGAAGAGCGCACTTTCCCTGCCAGACAGGGGAGGGCCAGACACCATCAGGAGGGTGTGGGAAAGCCTGGAAATACAGGGCTCCTTCTGCGCATGCTGCTTGGAGCTCCAACTGCTAGGACAACTCCAGAAGTGAGAGAGACAGAGAGAGAGATCGAGGAGTTTTATATAGATATATTAAAATGACTGTACACACTTGTGACTTACGGAAAGTTCCAGAGTTGTAACTTGCTCTTGTCTCATAGCCTCCTTGTGCTGTGCGTGTCACGTTTTCTTTGAGCCCAGAGCTTGGCACTTAGTAAATACTTGTGAAATGAGTGTTGCCCCCTTAGCACATTGAACTCAGGTTCTAGACCACAGTCGGCTCCAGCCTTACCTTGCGGCAGTGGAAAGTATCTGCAACCTTGGGTTTTCCGATAGAAAAAGAAGTATTAGGAGTGGTGTCTTTGAAATCCATGGTAAGGTGGCTGGGAAGCATGTGTTTATATGAGGTGCCCACAATGTTTGCTCAGCCGGCAGGGCTTCAGTAAAGCAGCCCCCACGCAGGGCGGGGGACGGTGCCTGAGGCCTTGTGCTTGGGCTCCGGTCTCTTTTTTGTTCAGCCGGGTCTGCTTAGGATAGGGGCAACAATTGCTACGTGACAGGCCCCGGTAAGAGCATAGATCCGTGCGCACTGCTGCCCATTTCCATCGCTCTAGGAAGTGAACAGTTTCGCCCTTATGGGCCAGTCAGTAACCAACTTTTAATAAACAAGAGTTGTATCTCCCCAGCATAGCATCATCCCATTGGTTCTACTGGATAAGCTAACTCGATTTTTAATGTGAGTGCCTTTGTTTCACCTTGGACCCACCCAGAGATGACTAGATACTGGGGGCTGGGGTCGTGATGTCCAGTGCTTTCAACAAAAAGTGGACTTGCCGGGAGAGATGCCAGGCACCTGCACTCAGGTCTCGGAGTGCCCTGAAAGGCTCCAAGGTCTCCAAATGCTTACCCGGATACGTGACATTTCTAATAGTAATGCATCTTTGGTTTGTCCCTTCTGCATCTAACCTCACTCCTGATCATTAGATGTTTACTCTGATGCAGGTTTTTTTTTTGGTTTTTTTGGTCTGTTGTTTGTTTTGTTTTTGTTTTTTGCGGTACGCGGGCCCCTCACCGCCGCCGCCTCTCCCGTTGCGGAGCACAGGCTCCGGACACGCAGGCTCAGCGGCCATGGCTCACGGGCCCAGCCGCTCCGCGGCATGTGGGATCTCCCCAGACCGGGGCACGAACCCGTGTCCCCTGCATCGGCAGGCGGACTCTCAACCACTGCGCCACCAGGGAAGCCCCTGATGCAATTCTGAGTATCATTTTCTTTTAGATGTGGTCATCAATCAGATGTGCAACAGGATGTGAACGGGTGTCGCGTGGGATCAGCCAGAGAGTGTCTGGAGAGGATGCTTGCATTTTTCCCTCTACAGTGCCTTGAAATAGGTCTCCCACCAGGCAGGGTGGGGGACTGTGATGGTGGCCCACACTTGCTTTCTGACGACGACTGGAGTATAAAAGCTGAGACTCTTGGGGGATGTCCTGTCTGCTTTCCAGGCCCCCACCACCACCACCACCACAACGTCCCTGGATGCCAGCCCCTTCACACTTCTGGACTGGGCTTCCGCTCCAGAGATGAACTTGCAGGACGCTGGACCAGCCCATAGCACATCATTTGCTCTTTGAAACTTTGGACACTTTTCAAGAGCTGTTTAAGTGCCGTGGCAGTATCTTCACGTAACTGTTAAACTGTCCCACCTGAATTCATTTACTTTGGGTGTTGGCCTTGAACGGCACCCTCTGGTGGAGACGGCATCTATTGTGGTTTGAAGTAACGGCTAGCAATTGGGTGAAAGGGTCTCAGGAAAGGCCGCTGACCTAGACGTGGGGGGGAAGACGAGAGAGCATGTCTGGGCGCCCCTTGGCCCCTGCAAAGGGAAGGTGGGAACCCCTTGAAGTGGAGCTGCACGGGGGCCAAGGGCAGCCACCCTGAAACAGCATGGATGGTGTCTTAGGACCTTTGCTTAGATTGCCTGCAAGACTTGCTCTACTTTGTGAAGCTGCCAGGACCGCCCCCACCCTTCACTCCCTTCCTCAGTGGCGGGACACAGTGGCTTTCAGTTGGGGCTGCTAAGTCTACGCCTGGTTAGGTAGCAAGGGGTAACACGCCGTCTCTGGAGGTCAGGGTAGGACTAAGTAGTAGGTGAACTCTCAGGACAGGAAGAGGTTGAGGGACTTCCAGTGGGTTGGAGTAAAGCACAGGGAGCGTGTGGTGCTTTCAGGAACCCTAGAAGGGCGGAGGGCTTTCTGTAGGGCAGTCGTAGGGTAAAAGGTCATTAGAACCGGAGGGCAGAGAGCCAGGGATGCCAGATGAAGAAGTTTGGTCTCTAGCTGGTTCCTGAGGAGGAGCATTTTTTTTTAATATGAAAGAATTATTCTAAGATCAAGGAGGAAAAAAGTTGACGCAGATGGTAACTGCTGGAGTGTGTGAATTTACACATGGATGACCACCAAGTATACACACTAGAGTCACCTAGACAGCTCTGATGCTCACTGGGTGTTCATCCATGGGAATGAATGGCGGCAGCCCACCACTCATGATGCTTTGACATGAGCAGCCTCAAATGGCACTTTGGGGAACTCCCACTTGCCCTGGGAGTTATGAGAAATATCTGGAAAACTTAGATCGTTTTCTCTTACGCTAGCCTCAGTGTGTGCGTGACTTCACAACACAGGGGCCCTCCAGGATTTGAAGGTTGCTGTTTCTTCATCTTTCTTGACAGCCTTATAGACGTATAATTGGTGTACGAGAAACTGCACATATTTACATTGTACAATTGGATGAGTTTTGACGGGTATCCACCTGTAAAACCATCACAGCAATGAAGACGGGAAACATACGCCCATCACCCCGGAGAGTTGCCTTGTCCCCCGGGTGCGCCCTCCTTCCTGCCCCTTCCTCCCCCCAACCCCGTCCCCACAACCACTGCCCTTTCTATCAGTACACACTCGTTTGCCTTTCCTAGAATTCTGTGTTAATGGAATCATGCACTATGCACTCTTCTTGCCTGGCCTCTTAGTATAATGATTTTGAAGTTCATCCTGGGTGTCGTGTGTATATCAATCCTTCGTTTTCTATTGCTGAGTACTATTCCATTGTGTGGATGGACCACAATGCCTGTTGATGGACATTTGGGTTGTTTCCAGGTTTTGGCCTTCACAAATAAAGCTGCTGTGAACATTTGTGTGCAAGTTTTTGTGTGGACAGATGTTTTCCTTTCTCTTGGGTATATGGCTAGGAGTGGAATTGCCGGGTCACGTGGTAACTCTATGTTCAACTGTTTTCCAAAGCAGTCGCATCATGCTACCTTCGCACCAGCAGTGTATGAGGGGTCCAATTTTCCATGTCGTCCCCAACACTTGTTTTTGTCCATCTTTTAGATTCTAGGCCTCCTGGTGGGCGTGAAGTGGTATCACGTTGGTTTTGATTTGCATGCATTTCCCTGATGACAAATGATGCTGAGCACCTTTTAGCGTCCTTGTCAGCCACACTCATATCTTCCTGGGCGATGTGTCCGATCAAATCTTTCGCCTCCTCCTCTGTGTCTGTGTCTCCTCTCCTGTCTCCTGTAAGGATATCTGTCATTGGATTTTGGACCCACCCAGCTAATCCAGGAGGACCTCATCTCAAGATTTGTCATATGTCTGCAGAGACCCTTTCTCCAAATAAGGTCACATTCACGGAGTCCAGGTATTAGGACATGGAGGCCCCCATTTAGAGACAGAAACATTCCGAAGCCCAGGGAGCTGGGGAGGGAGGGGGGCAGTGCGCAGGGGCAGCGTGTAGGGTCAGAGGCCATGACGAGAAGAGGATGTGCCAAGCATCTAGGCCGGGGTTCCAAGTAGCAGGAGCTGTATCATAGCTGACGCTCACTGCCCAGCTGCTATGTGCCCAGCCCTGGGTGCGATCCATCCTCCGGGCACCACTGTACTGTTTCCATTTTACAGAGGAGGAAACTGACGTTGACCTGTGAGGTAATTCTTCCGGTCACAGAGTTGGGGAACGGGGTGGGTAGGGGCAGGGCCCAGCACCCAGGCTCTCCCACGGCAAAATCTGCTCACATCACCAAGAGCCGAGGCTCCCTCCCGACGGCTGGGTCCCTCTCATCACCACCGTGGGGCCCGGGCCAGGGTAGGCACATGTGAGGGGAAAGGTTGATTCCTTGCTTTTTCTCCTCTTCCTCCACGAGCAGGATTTCCAGGTTCTCTACCTGACGTGCCCTGGCGGGCAGGTGAGATGCTCCATGTACCCAAGCTGCCAGGGTCAAGGAGTGAGCGAGCAGAGAGCTTCCAGCTTTCCAGCCTCCTCCTGCCTCCCTCCGCCTGGCCTGCTGGCCCATCCTCCCCAGCCGCCGTCACCAGCCATCCTGCAGGTCTGGGCCTCGGGGGCTGCCCGGTCCTCGTGCCCGCACTCCAGGCGGGCTCTTCGCCACGTGGTTTCCAGCCTGGAGCAGCTAAAACAACCAGCCACGCCCTGCCCCCACCCCGCCCCACACCTCGGCCGACACGGATGGGGTCCGCTGACCACTTTGAGTGACGGCCCCGCGCTAGGCCTTTCTAGAGACGACCCATCCCGTCCCGGGAAGGCTTACTGCAGGCTTGCCGAGAGCACTTCCCTTCCCCAGAGCCCCAGTTGTGCTAAGCTTGGTGACCGTGAGAAGCGACAATCCACCGTGGGCCTTTGAGAGGCCACGCGCTGAGTGTGCTCAGGACGCCGAGCCCTTCACCGAGCAGGGAGCTGCCCTTGTGAGGGAGAGGCCACGCAACTCATCAGACTCCCCAGTGTCCCCGGAGAGGCGGGTCTGGTGGGGTAGCACCTGAGGGTCCACAGGGCGGCCGAGGGGGGACGTTGTGCAGCCTTCTGCCGGAGCTCCCCCGTCACCGGCCCAACGAGTCCACAGGCTGGAGGCCTCCGAGGGCCTGAGGGCCGGCGCAGGGCTGCAGGAGCCCTGCAGGCCGAGACTGGCAGTGGAGAGACTGGCAAAGCTTCAGCCGAGCTGCTGGGGGGAAACCTTTCTCACCTCCCTTTCCTTAGAGCTCTTAGGTGAGCCACCGCCCCCTTTGTGAATCAGGGAGATGATTTACATACATCTCAAATGACCACTTGAGATGTATGTAAATCTTTGTAAACCTAAATAAGCCTCCTGCTGGCCTTACAGCCCAGGAAGGCTCTCCTTCAGAGCCCCGGCACCACCCCCTTGAAATGCAAACCTTCAGGAAGGTACCCTAGCTCCCCTCCAGGCCAAGAGAAAGCTTTCATTGTCCTGAGGATAAAGGGCAATTCACCAGCACTGAGGGCCACCCTGATTACCAGGAGAACTTGCCCTGAGCTAGGAGGGGGCGATCTCAGGAAGTACTGCCTGGCTGGATAAAAGGCTGAGGTTTCCTTCTGGCCTTGCGATCTCATGAGCGGCGGCCTGAGATGGGCATGGCAGGCAGTTGAGTTTAATGCTTATTCAGTAGTGAAGCTGTTTGCTTTCTTTTCCGCTTTCGTGGAGAGGACTCTGGGTGGGCAGGGTCCACGGGGAGGGGGCCTAAGTGGGAGGATGTGGATCTGAGGTCTGGGGCAAGGACCGACGCCAGGCAGAGCTGGGCCCACGGAGGTGCGGGACCCCGCCCTCCCCTCCTGGCCTCTCTGGGACCGTGGTGACTGTCACAGCTCACCCCTCGTCTACACAGTGGGTGGGCTCACCAAGCTCCGAACCAGAGTGGGTGCCTGAGGCGCAGGCATTGCCAAGCGAACATTCCTGAAATCCCAGGAAAACAAGAACCTCTTAGAAGCTTCCGAACAGAAGGAACCAGCCACAGCAGAAATGGATTGTCGACTGAAAAAAAAACAAAACAAAAAACCCACAACCTAAAAGTTGAGAATTATGTTTTATTTGTGGGCATTACTGAGGACTGTAGCCCGGGAGACAGGCCTTCAGAGAGCTCTGAGGAACTGTTCCAAAGAGGTAAAGGAGGAGCCACGATATACAGGAAGTTTTGCTTTAAAAAACAAACAAACAAAAAACATGCAGTCAAACATCAAAAGATTACTGCTAATCACAAAACCCAGCCATCTCAAGTTAACGACTTGG